TTGAGGGTGCGAATATATAAGTCTGAGTGTGTTTGCAAGAATTAGACTGTCAACACTGATAGAAGTGCCATTGTCCTTGAGAAGAGAGGTGGAAGTTTTATCAATCGGCTGCATAGTCCTATCAGCACACAGCTGGTAGGGGAGTGCTGGGGAAGAGCGTCGTGTTTATATAACATCCAGGAGGAATTTTGTCGATAGCCAGTTAGCAGAAGTTGTCAAGGCCACATTGGGGCGCCAGATTTAGAAAAACAATAAATGTTGTGGTTCAGGCAGTTGTGAATTTCCAACTAACTTAAGGGTTTTACTGGTATGTCACAATTGCGAATCCAAATAGCCAAATTTCTGGTATTTTCTGGAGATCTCGAGCGTACAACTTCTCCAAGATTATATCCTTTAACCTCTGAGTCCAACCGCTGCCAGGCTGCGATTCTGTTAAAGAATCATGTCCAGCTTGCGATTCTGTTCTCTTAACATTTCAGTCTGAGTGTTGATCGCTCTACAGACTCCATCCAACATCGCAGGCAGCTTTGGAAAGCTTTGAACAGCCGCCCACGTTTTAATCACTCGATAAGCCAGGTAACCACCAACTCCAAAAAGCAGAAATCCTGTTATCAAAAGTCCAAATATGTGGACATTTTCTATGTCCTCGACTGACATTGTAGTCAGGTACACAATCTTCTACTGCTGCCAAGAATCCATTGTGTTTCCAGAGAAGAACGTCCCGCCTGGACAAGAGGGTCTCCTTTACCCTGTCTTCCCGTAGAAAAATAAATAAATTTGATCAATTACGTTGAGAGTCCAGCTGACCAAATCCATAATTTAAAAGTTTGGAGGATATGGAAAGCGAGGCTCTGAGAAAAATACAGACAAAAAATAGAAGCAGGGATCAGCAGGGAGGGAGAGAGAGAAAATGTGTGTGTCTTCCACCGAGAGCAAGAGCTCTCAACCACAGGGCTCCAGATCAGTACCGGGCCACAGCTCAAAATATATAAATATATATATTAGTAATTTTGGCAGAATTGACAAGCCTGTGGGCTTCTGCTGCGCTCCAGAAGTATTAAGAACAACACCCCCACCCCTCAGTCCAGTGAGTCATCTGGGAGAGCAGGTCTGGTAGTTTTTAAGTTCAATATTGTTTGCAATTTTACCTTTTTGCTGTTCAACTCCATACAAGTTAACCGTGACTATAAAAAGCTGATTTTAGTTGGGCTATCTGCTCCAGTAGCCATCCTGCAGTCAGCTGCCTAACAGATATACTGCTCTTAGCTTGCCAACTGTGGTTTTAAAACATTGTTCCCTTAATAACGGTGGCGCTCCTTTAGTTTCTGTGCCATGACTGTTCAGGTTCTTGCGACAGCGAAAATTTCCAATCAGCCAAGTTTTATTCTTCCTACAGCTAGAGAAAATTCCAGTTCCACTTGCATTTTTGCTGGTATTTCATCAAAATGACTTTAAACTGTAGTGACATTTATCGTCTATACCTGCTTATCCTTGAAGGGTGGCGGGGGAGCTGGTGCCTATCCCCAGCGGTCTTTGAGCTAGATGCAGGGTACCCCCTGGACAGGTCGCTAGTCCATCTCAGAGGAACTGTATTAACAGTATAACAGAAAACTTTAGCTTTTTTGGAGCACTAACCTTTTAAAACTTTGGTGTCCTTTGATGCCAGAAAACAACCTGGGCCAAGTCCTGCAGCAATAAAAACCAGTTTGTTTTTTTCTTTCTAGAATCTTCAGATGAAGATGCGCGGCCATGGCTTCCCCTGGTTCAAACTGCTTATGGTTTTGCTTGTGTTCGCTGCCGGCTTCATTGCCCATGACATCAGGTCTCACGACTCAGTCTCAGGTCTGAATGAGCACCGAGTCTTCATTTTTATTTCAAACTTCACAGTTTGCATGAGGCCTGTTGCTATAACTGTTGTTGTGTTTCAGATTCCTCTACAGCCAAGTATCTGCGCAGCTCGGGAGTCACAGCTGTGTCTCAGCAGGCCTGGAGCAAAATAACGGTCTACACAAAGCAGGGCTTCAGGTCGGACCTCATGTTCATCATGTGCTGTATTCTTTTTTTTTTTTATTTGGCCCATTTAGTTTGCATGGATCCAGTTTAAACTATGCTGTGTAAAATCATAATGTGTTGCTCTCTTTGCAGCTGGCTGGAGAAAAACACTCCTCATTATTACTCTGAGTGTGTGAGGGTGTTCGGGCCAGTCATGGAACAAGGTGTGGAGAAAACAAAAGCAGCAGCTGTTGTCCTTTCTGAAAACACCTCACAGTTTATCCTATGGGTCAAAGAAACAACACCGCTGGCCATAGAATGGGTTAGATAGTGAATGTTTTATTTTCCTACTTTTAAAAATCTCCATTAAACTTTAAAAATTCAGTCATTTATACTAGGGACTGCAGCTGACTGTATTGGACCTTTCTTTGTTTTTCAGGTTAACACCAACACTCCAGACAGTGTGTTCCAAATGTTGGCATATCTAAAAGAGCTTCTCATCTTCATCCATCATAACTATGTCCTCCCAGCACTGACGTACATATCTGATCTTTTACTACAAGCGTGGACCAACCTGCAGGATTCCTGCAAGTCAGTACTTAAAGCAGCAGCTGCTTTTGACTACAAGTGTTTTTTTATTGGCTGCAGGATTACATAAGATGGCAGCAAAAACTAAAAACAGATTTATGTAAAATTATCATCAGAAAGGTTAAAAAATAAAAAGATGTTATGGAAAGGTTGCCTTGAAAGTAAAGCAAGCTTCGAGAAGTGATCTTGTTAGTTTTAAGGTTTCACATTTATCACAGGAACAGCCAGAGGACTTCTTCAAGCGCTTCGAACAGCTCAATCAATAAAGTTTTTCTGCAGAACTTGTCATACAAGGCATTCTCATTTTGTATTTTAACATTTCCACCTAATTCGGTTAGGTGTTACATGTTTTAACCCTCCTTTTTGTCCTTGCAGTGGGGAGGTATCAGTTTCGTGTCTTCGGGGACACGCCGTGTACTTCACAAACTCAACATGGCAGCTGCTCCAACACACAACATCGGCCATCAAATCATGGGCTCAGGAGCTGCTGACGCGAGCAGGATAACACAACAGAATCGAACTGATTTTACCCATGCAATATAAACTCTGTGTGTGCGGTTAGATGCTGTACACACACACACACACACACACACTCTGGCCTAGCGTGAGGCTGTATTTCAGTGCATGGGGCTCCTCTGAAGCCATGATCATCACTGGTCAGATGGAAATCAACTTCAAAAAGACTTTTCTGTCTTGTTTTCTTGCTCAATTTTTTAAATCAGTTTCCTGTTGTATGGATGTTTCTACCGATCTTTTTGTCACTGCTGGATGTGGAGGTCGCAGTTTTTCTCTCTCCTTTTTCTATTGCAAGTTCCAGCTGTTGCTTTACCCTCTTGGGAGATCAAATGTTATTTATAAGAAAAAATGCAGATTTGTAGATTTATACGCCATTTTTATTTGAAGATAAATGTCTTCTAAGGAAACTTGGTTAAAGGCAAGAAAAAAAGAACCCAAGGCACAGAAGATCGAATGACTTAAAGTTTTGAGGACCATTTCATCTCTGATGGTTTGTCTCAGCTTTCATCATTGGAAATGTGAACTATTCTAACATTTTGGTAGCCTCATAGCATAATTACAATATAGTAATTATGCTATGAGGCTATCGATTTGCAGGTTTATTTATTCCTTCAGTGGGCTTTAAGTAGATATAAACTAGCAGAAGAGACCCACATCTGTCCAGACTAACAAATAATTGCTTTTTCTTTTACTCTGTTTTATATTGTTCTGTTTATGCCTTAGTTCCTCAATTTCTAGGCTAAGAGAAGGACTATAAATTCACTCTTGACATTTTTAATTTGTGCCTGTGTGGCTTCAATGGGTTTATTGTCTTGGGATCATGATCGGTTCAGTACCAACTACTCTGAAACAGTCAACACTTCAGTCCAGTTTATTCACTAATGGTTCCTTGTACAGCAGATTGTATGAATATGGCAGCAAACAGTCTTAATTTGTGATGAAAATCCTTTATAATAAAGACTTCAAACTGAATCTTGTTTGAAATTAATCTAAGACTTCTAAATCTTAAAGGCTGTTTCTGCAACACGCATCACGAGAGACGGATCTAGTTTTAAAAGTAATCAAATGCTTCATTGATCTATAATCAACGTAAACAACTAAACGACGATTTTTTTTTCACCCGTGGTGTGTTTCAGTGCTGTCACTAAACGTTGGAAATTTGTACTCATCCCCTTCGATAGCTCAGTTGGTAGAGCGGAGGACTGTAGGCATTATTCATAGCAATCCTTAGGTCGCTGGTTCGAATCCGGCTCGAAGGAGGAAACACTTTTTGTGTTTGTTTTCTTGGGAATGTCAGCCAAAAGAAACTCAAAACGTTTTAGTTGAATTAATGGATTATTTGTAGACAAATGTAAACATGCCTGAAATAGTTATTTATTTACATATGTTTTTAAGTGTTGCGTACAGTGGATGGCGCATTTTTTATGCTGAAATGTCAGACACCATTTACCGACCTCATAAAAACGTGTGAAAATACACTTATTTTATTTTCTTTAGTCGCACAGTTTCAGCTCCGCAGTTTGTTGTCCGAATGTATGCAGCCATGTCATTTTCCACAATTGTGTAACTCACTTTGCGGCAACAGTCATTATTTTAATATACATCTTCCTAAGATATAGAAAGCTTTCCGTGGGACGGTTTAAACGAGGATCGTGACGTCACGGAAGCGGAGCTTTTAGTACGGGGGATTAGCTCAGATGGTAGAGCGCTCGCTTAGCATGCGAGAGGTAGCGGGATCGATGCCCGCATCCTCCAAGTTGTTTTTAGACTTTCGTCAGTGAAACGATGACCATTTATAGCTTTTGGACTGATGTTGTGTGGCCTCAGACTGCAATGCCTTCTGCTTCTACATGTTTGTCTTCTTTTGCCCTTAACATCAACTGTTTTTAAAAGAAATAGTTGCCCAAATAATGTTCTACTTCCTATGAATAGAATAAATATTATAGGCAAGGAAAATAGGAAGCAATCGACCTGAAACTGGATGCAAATCCCCTTCTAAGTTTTAGATCTACAATGATTTGCACATTCATTTCCTAAAGAAACCTGACTCATTTGTTTAATTAAAACATTTAATGCTCAGTTTATGATGCACTGTTAAAAATATTAATAAATAATTGTTTTTGTTTTTAGTTAAAAATAAATAAATTTTGTTCTTGTGGCCCGTTGAGTACTTTGTCCTTGAGATAAAAGGTGTACAACAGCGGCCTGCTGCTGAAAAGCGCTATATAAATAAACTTAACTTGACACCCCAGCTGTAGCTGATTGCAAACTACGGTGGCCGAAAAGTGCAAACGCGCTGCAAACGGTTAAACGGGCTACAAACGGCGAAAACACGCTGCATACACATGAATGATGTAAACTCCAAAACACACAAACACAAAAATCAAATGCAGCAGAAAAACGCTGCAATTAGAGAAAATAGAAACAAAATGAAAAAGGCTGCAAATACGAAAACAGCAAATAGGCCTCTGTCTGCACGTTTGTGCACATGCTTGTACAAATAAATAGTTTCGAACATGTAATCAAGTGGTTTAGATGTTTTCGGTTCTCAAAACTAACATACATTAATATTCGTAAGGAAAAGAAATATAATGAGTCAACCTTGCACGAAAATGATAGAATGCCAGAATTGCTGCACCAAGGACACCTTCCAGAGGGGATAAACAAACGTTATCGTGAGTTAACATTTATTTTCCTTTTATGAAGCAAACAACTTATTACGGAAGAGTATTAGGGCCACTAAAAAAAATAAAATAAAGTTCTGACTTTTTTCTCAGAGTTCTGACTTTAATCTCAGAATTCTGACTTTTTTCTCAGAATTCTGACTTTTTTCTCAGAGTTCTGACTTTTTTCTCAGAATTCTGACTTTTTTCTCAGAGTTCTGACTTTTTTCTCAGAGTTCTGACTTTAATCTCAGAATTCTGACTTTTTTCTCAGAATTCTGACTTTTTTCTCAGAATTCTGACTTTTTTCTCAGAGTTCTGACTTTAATCTCAGAATTCTGACTTTAATTTCAGAATTCTGACTTTTTTCTCAGAATTCTGACTTTTTTCTCAGAATTCTGACTTTTTTCTCAGAATTCTGACTTTTTTCTCAGAATTCTGACTTTTTTCTCAGAATTCTGACTTTTT